GGCATACTCGAGCTCGAGCACAACCTTGCCGGTGGCGTCACGCATCGGCTGCCTTCCTTCGGCCAGGTCGGTCCCGGGAGCAATAACTTTCCGACCGACTACTTGGTTGTCTCGCCGACGGAGCATGACGTTCTCAAGGTCGTTCACGACTGCCATGCTACTAGCAAGCAGCGATGGATCTATCATGACGGCTGGCTGTGGCGCCTGCATCTGGAGCTGCACTTGCTGGCCTGCAGAGACGCCGGCGGCGGTGTCGTGCCTTTGCCGGTTCTCCCTTTTCGCCGCTGGCCGCTTGCTCTGCTCGTCCAGCGCGGCGCCCGCGATGCAGCGGACGTCGGGTGCTTCACACCAGCCTACACCACCCGGCAGGAGGACGCGCCATGAGCGGCCGGCGGTCTCAGGAGCAAAGCTGTTGTCGGGGCAGCTGATGCCGCAGCTCTTACTGCCTTGCTTCTTCGCATGACCCACCTTCCACCCGTCACAATACCACATCACCACGCTTGGGTCGCCATCCTTCTCGTAGGATGGCATTCCGTTGACGACCCGATCGTGTCGCTTTACGAACACGCCGAGACGCGAGCACTGTGCGCCGCCAGGCGTCATACCGACCAGAGCCACTCGCTCCGCGCCGCGATCGAACTCGGCTTGCAGCACAGCGCCGCCGCGGAAGCGAATGTAGGAGCGTCTTAGAGCCTCCAATCGTCCGTTTTGAGGCCCGACCCACAGCATGGCTGCGGCAGCGGCTTAGCTGCGGCAGCGGCTTCAGCGGCTGAGCCGCCCTGCGGTCGCCCGACCAGCCAGCGGAATTTTTTCCGTTTTTAATTTTTTGCAACCCCGTACGCACTCTTCACACAGGGGCACTCACAGCACACTGTGAGAGCCCATGCAAGCAAAGCCGCCCTGCAGCTCGTTGGCAGTCCTCGTTTTCGACTTTGGCCGCCCCGCGTCGGCCAGGTGCGTGGTCCCCGACCCTAAACTCTTCGCCGGCCCCGCCAGCTCGACCGACTCGACCGCCAACCGGCTGGGTTTGACCGGCGGCGCGACGCGTGGCCTGTGCTGCGGCCATCTCGGACGTTCAAGCGGCGCCAGCCAGCGGCTCGGCCGCGCATCCTTCACACACGCCGCCACGACCGGGATGAGCGGCCCCGATGTCGAGCCATGGTGTGAGCTGCATGTGCGGGGCGGCTGTGGCCGCAGCAGGTCCACCAGACGGGCGTCAAAGCTTGCCGTCGGCGTGCTGTCGTGGGGGTGCACGACACGCACTGAAAGGAGCCGAGAGGAGCAGCAGCTGTGGGGCTTCCACGGCTCCCAAAGGGCGGTCCATGACTGCTCTGAGCAGGGCTGTGCTTTGGTGGGGCTGTGTTTGAGCATGTGTGAAGTGCGAGTGCGTGCCGGCGGCGTCTGTGATCTGTAATGGGCGTGTGAGGGCCCGGTGTGGGTAGTTGTGAGCCCGTGTGAGCTTGCAGATGTGACCGATCGAGCTACAAGAGGAGCTTGTTCAGCAGGATCAGGGATAGACCTGTGTAGTGCCAGTGTGTGTGTGTGCGCGCGCGCGCGCCCAGCGTTGAAGTTGGAGCAATTGGAGTGCATGGTAACCGCGTGCACATCCACCAGGGCCGGGGAGCTAAAACTGAAAAGTTCCAGGACTGACCGAAAAAGAATTCGGTTTTCCCGCTCCACCTTCCTGTCTCCATCTGGCGACCTTCCTCCAGTTTCTAACTGGCAGTCTCTCGCTACCACAGGCACACTGACAGGGGCGCGCCGCTTCGCGAATTCTTTTCTCGGCGGCGCTCCTTGGACATATACACACACATGCGCTTTGGCCCACCGCCGCCACTGCCGCCGGTAGCTACTCCGGACCTGGCCAGCGCGCTGTCGACGCTCGCCGCCGCCTTTGCCGACGTGCTGTCTGCGGCGGCCGCCGACATATCGTGGCAGTCGGCGGCCGCGCTCGCCGCGTCGCTGTGCTGTGTCTACCTATTGGGTGCGGTGCTGCTGTCGGAGCCGACGCCGCGGGTGGACGTGCCGGTGGACGAGGACGTGGAGCCCAAGATTGACGGCTCCACCGCCAAGTTCGACGCCGCCCTCCTCACCGCCGAGGGCGCGCGGAGGGAGCCGTCCGTCGTCTACTGCTGGGACCCGTCCTCGATGGACATGCTCGGCACGCTGCCGGTGGCGTCGGCGGAGGACGTCGCCGCCGCCGTCGGTCGCGCGCGTGTCGCACAGGCGGCGTGGGCGGGCTCGACTTGGGGCGCGCGCCGCCGGCTGCTCCGCACGATGCTGCGTTTTGTGACGGAGAACCAGCGCGCAATCGCCCGCGTCGCCGTGCGCGAGAGCGGCAAGACGATGGTGGACGCCATCTTCGGCGAGATCCTCGTCACGTGCGAGAAGCTCAAGTGGACCATCGCGCACGGCGAGGCTGCGCTGCGGCCGGAGCGGCGGCCGACCGGCACCCTCGCCATGACCAAGCGCGCCTGGCTGCGCCCGGGCCCGGTTGGCGACCCTTCCCGGAACCTTCCGTGAGCCGCCTCGGGAGGCTCGTGTAGGCGCGTCAAGGTGGAGTGGCGGCCGGTGGGCGTGGTGGGCGCCATCGTCCCGTGGAACTACCCCTTCCACAACGTCTTCAACCCCGTCATCTCGGCGCTCTTCGCCGGCAACGGCATCGTCATCAAGGTTTCCGAGTACGCCTCATGGTCGACCCTCTACTACGGGCGGGCCCTCCGCGCCATCCTCGCCGCCGCGGGGGCGCCGACCGACCTCGTCCAGTTCGTGACGGGGTACGGCTCGACCGGCGCCGCGCTGGTCGGCTCCGGCGCCGACAGAGCCCGCCCTCTGCCTCTGCTGGAGCGGGGACCTTCTCGGAACCTTCTCGGAACCGTCTCTCTAGGCGTCGACAAGCTGATCTTCGTCGGGTCGCCGTCGGTGGGAGGGCACGTGATGCGCGCCGCCGCCGCGAGCCTCACCCCGGCGGGACGGCCTCCCGGCCGCGTGCGCGAGGGTGCGCGAGCTGACGCGAGACGGGCGTGGTGGGTGATTATAGGTTGTGCTGGAGCTCGGAGGAAAGGACCCGTTCGTTGTCTGCGACGACGTGAGCGAGGCAGAGCTCGACCGCATCGCGCAGGTGGCGCGAGATTGCCCGAGATTGCCGGGGCGTGTCCGAGGCTGCGGTCGAGGTGAGGCGGAGGTCGTTCTCGCCGCGCAGGTGGCCTGCCGCGGCGTCTTCCAAAACATGGGCCAGAACTGCGCCGGCCCAGAGCGGTTCTTCGTCGCGGACGCCGCGTACGCGGGCTTCTGCTCGCGCGTCGGCGCCGCCGCCGCGCGGCTCGCCCGCGGAGGGGAGCCCCCCCCCCCTGTTCACAGCGCGCGGCGTGCGTGCAGGCGCAATCGCGTCACGCCTCAAGTGCGGCCCGCCGCTCGACGACGCAGAGGTCGACTGCGGGGCCATCACCATGGGCAGGAGGCAGATGGGGCACTACCAGGCCGGCCTGCCTACCGCCCGCAGACCCCTCCGTGGACGCCTCCCTAGACACGCCCTAGACACGCCCTAGACCTGCACTCGCGGGTGGGGCAGTGCGCCAGGCGCCGCTCGCCACCGATTGCGAGGCTCTGCCGACCCCCCCGCGGCATTGGCGGACGGCTCACGCCGGGGCTGACTCCTCTCCCAGGCGCTCGTCGACGACGCGGTGTCCAAGGGCGCGCGGCTGCTGGTCGGAGGGTACACGCCCTCCGGCGACGACCCGCTCGCGGCATTGGCTCTTTGGCGCCCGAGACCGCTGGGGTGGCGGGCCGCGGCGTTTCATGCGCGATGCTGTGAGCAGGCGGGCTCCTTCTACCCCCCGACAGTGCTCGTCGACGTGCCGGAGAGCGCCGACATCCTGCAGACGGAGATCTTCGGCCCGATCATGTGCGTGGTGCGCGTGGCCGACTGCGGCGGCGCCGCCGCCAACGACGACGAGGCCGTCCGGCTGGCCAACAACTGCGACTTTGCGCTCTCGAGCTGCGCGTTTGCGCAGTCGGCGCCGCGCGCGCGCGCCGTCGCGGCGCGTCTCTGGGCGGTGCGGGAGAGGGCTGGCGCGAGAGCGGCGTCGCCTCACGGCGGCGTGTGGCTGCCGCAAGTAGGCTCGGCTCGAGGCGGGCATGTCCGCCTCCAACGACCTCGAGGGCTCCACCTACCTCTCGCAGTCCCTCCCCTTCGGAGGCCGCAAGCAGAGCGGCTTCGACCGCTTCGCCGGCATCGAGGGCTTGCGCGGCCTCACCACGCCGCGGGCCGTGTGCGACGACGCGCTCGAGTGGCTGCCTTTTGGAATGGGCGCGCTGCTCCGCACCGCCATCCCGCCGCCGCTGCAGTACCCCTCGCGCGGCGGCGGCTTCGACTTCGCCTCGGGGCTGATCGAGCTCTTCTACGGCGAGGGGGTCTCGCTCAAGCTGCGCGGCGTCGCAAAGCTGATCGGGGCCGCGGCAAAGTAGCGGCGGCGGCGGGGCGGGAGGTGGGCGGGGCGGAGGAGAAAGGGCGGAGGCGCGGGGGCTAGGAGGTGGGCCCGCTTGAGAGGGGGTGCCAACCAGGTAGCAACCACGTCCCCTGCCACGTGAGACGGGCGGGGAGAGGGAGGGGAACGGGAGGGTCGGCTCGGTGGGTCGGCCGAGAGTGCGTGTCTCAGATTATATGCATGCGCATGCTCACGAGATCGCGCGTGCGGCTGTGTCCGTAAATCTTTTTTATTTTCGCGCCCAGGCCTCGCAGGCTGCGCCTTCATTCACTTTATGCCACCGTTGCATATCCGGATATGCAACGGTGGCATAAAGTGAATGATACACCGTCGCAAAACTGCATTGGGTCTCGAGTTCGAATCCCGCAGTTCGACTCGGCGCAAAAAACCCAGACGGGCGTTGTCACTGGTTCGAAACCCACCTTAGCGTTCACCTGCTATCCGCCGGTACCCAAACCGGATGCATCTCCGCACGACCCAGGAATGCAGTTTTGCGACGGTGTATCATTCACTTTATGCCACCGTTGCATATCCGGATATGCAACGGTGGCATAAAGTGAATGATACACCGTCGCACCCAAGCTGATAGCTGTTACACTGTTCACGACGCCCAGCAGCCAGATGCAGATCCTCCTGCAAACCCGCCAACTGCGGGTGAGCCTGCAGCGCCGCCACCGCCGCCTCGATCACGCCCGCGTCGGCTGCGCTCTGTTTGCGTGCGACCCCTACGGCGTCGGTGCCGGAGCACACGTTGCGCAGCGCCTCACAGCCTTGCTCTTGCACCTCCGCCTCCTGCGGGTGAGCCTGCATCGCCGCCACGATCGCCTCGATCGCGCCCGCGGCTGCTGCGCTCTGCTTGCGTGCGAGTCCCGCGGCGTCGTCGCCGTAGCACACGTTGGTCAGCGCCGCGCAGCCATGCTCGTGCATGCCCGCCGCTTGCGGGTGAGCCTGCAGCGCCGCCACCGCCGCCTCGATCACGCCCGCGTCGGCTGCGCGCTGCTTGCGTGCGAGCCCTGCGGCGTCGTCGCCAGAGCACACGTTGCGCAGCGCCGCACAGCCTTGCTCTTGCACCTCCGCCACCTGCGGGTGAGCCTGCAGCGCCGCCACGATCGCCTCGATCGCGCCCCTCCGCCGCCAGATGCTCGTTGGTGCCGGTCGGGTGACCCTGCGATGCGCCCGTGCCGGTGTGTGGAGGGGGGGGGGGGCAGGGAGGGGGGGCAGGGAGAGGGTAGGGAGGGGGGGGCAGGGAGGGGGGGCAGGGTGGGGGGGCAGGGAGATGGGGGGCAGGGAGGGGAGGGGGGGAGCAGGCCAGCTGCAGCCGCGGCCCGTTCCCCTCGTACTCGGCCGCCCCCGGTGAGCAGCAGCGGCGCGTCGGCAGAGTGAACCCGCCCACAGCGCACTCCGCTGAAGGAGACGCCGCCCAGAGCCGACGGCGGGCGGTGAGGCGGTGGGAGGGGCCGCGATGCAGCGGCGAGACGCGTGCGCGATGGCCGTGATCTCGAGCTGACCTCCCCACTCGGAGGAGTGCTCCACCTGTGGTTGGTGTGCCAGTGCATGCCTCAATGAGCTGCTCGTCTCGAGCCCGAGGGGGCCTCTAAAGGGTCGACGGGGGGTCTCAGCCGTCAACCAGATGGTTGAGGGGGGGCCTCAACCCTCAACCCCTCCCAGGTAGGTAGGTAGGTAGAAAGGTGAAGAACAGCCAGGCTCGGACTGGACACCAACGCGGTATGGGTGGACGCTAGACAGATGATGACGACACGCACGAGCGACACACAGACACAAACAGGCTCACAAGACACAACCACCCCATGGGCCGATGCTCAGTCTTCCGGTGCAAAAGAAAACAGGCGCCCTAAAAAAGAAAACAGAACGCCACACATGGCGAAGGCGGGCGGCGCGAAATCGGGCGAGGCGGCCTCTTCCGGACAGGGCCTTCACGAAGAGGCGGCCCTAGCGGTGTGGGAAGCGGCTGCGCGAGGCGACGAGGCGGCGCTGCTGGCGTGGCTCGACAGCGGCGGGCGGGTCAACGCGACTTGCGGGACGGACGATGTGAGCGGCGTCACCGTGCTGATGCTGTCTGCCCAGGGGGGCCACGAGCGGGTGGTCGAGCTGCTGCTGCAGCGCGGGGCGATAATAAACCTGCAGGACAGCAACGGCCGCACCGCGCTGATGCTCGCCGTCGCCCAAGGCCACGAGCGGGTGGTCGAGCTGCTGCTGAAGCGCGGCGCGGAGGTCAACAAGCAGGAGAGCGAAGGCAGCACCGCGCTGATGATCGCCGCCATAAACGGCCACGAGCAGGTGGTCGAGTTGCTGCTGCAGCGCGGCGCGCAGATCAACATGCAGAACAGCCGCGGCATCACCGCACTGATGGCCGCCGCCTGCAGCGGCCACGAGCGGGTGGTCGAGCTGCTGCTTCAGCGCGGGGCGGAGATCAACTTGCAGACCTGCAAAGGCGGCACCGCGCTGATGGCCGCCGCCCAGCATGGCCACGAGCGGGTGGTCGACATGCTGATGAAGCACGGGGCGGAGATCAACAAGCAGAACAGCGACGGCGGCACCGCGCTGATGGACGCCGCCTTCTACGACCACCCCGCCATCGTACTCCGCCTGCTGCGTGCGGGCGCGGACACGGCACTGCGCTCTGAGGACGGCAAGACGGCGCTGCAGATGGCCAAGGAGAAGGGCCACGCCGCGTGCGTCGAGGCCTTCCGGCAGCACATCGCGGAGGTGACCAAGGCGAGCCGGCGCGAGGCGGCGGGCGGCGTGGGCGGCTGTTCCTCGGGCGAGGCGGGAGCGAGGGCCGCGGCTTCTTCCAGCTCATTGGGCGGCGTTTCCGGAGGGGTTATGCTAGCAGCGGAGCGAGGCGAGGAGGCGGCGCTGCTGGCGCGGCTCGACGGCGGCGGGCGGGTCGATGCGACGTACGAGAGAGGCGGCGTGAGCGGCATCACGCTGCTCATGGGCGCCGCCATGCGCGGCCAGGAGCGGGCTGTCGAGCTGCTGCTGCAGCGCGGCGCGGAGATCAACCTGCAGGACAGCGGCGGCGGCACCGCGCTGATGCGCGCCGCACTCGGAGGCCACGAGCGGGTGGTCGACTTGCTGCTGCAGCGCGGGGCGGAGGTCAACTTGCAGAACAGCAGCGGCGGCACCGCGCTGATTCGCGCCGCGGCCAACGGCCACGAGCAGGTGGTCGCGCTGCTGATTCGGCACAGCGCGGAGATCAACCTGCAGAGCAGCAACGGCTTCACCGCGCTGATGGGCGCCGTCCACCAAGGCCACGAGCGGGAGGTTGAGCTGCTGCTGCAGCGCGGCGCGGAGATCAACAAGCAGAGCAGCAACGGCAGCACCGCGCTGATGCTCGCCGCCCAGGAAGGCCACGAGCGGGTGGTCGAGCTGCTGCTGCAGCGCGGGGCGGAGATCAACCTGCAGACCAGCAACGGCTACACCGCGCTGAGTTGCGCCACCCACCAAGGCCACGAGCGGGTGGTCGACCTGCTGCTGCAGCGCGGGGCGGAGATCAACCTGCAGGGCAGCGACTGGACCGCGCTGATATGCGCCGCCATCCAAGGCCACCCCGCCATCGTGCTCCGCCTGCTGCGGGCGGGCGCAGACGCGACGGCGCGCTCTGAGGACGGCAAGTCCGCGCTGCAGTGGGCCAAGGAGAATGGCCACGCCGAGTGCGTGCGCGTCATCGAGGAGTTTACGGCGGCGGCGCAGGCGGAGGTGGCAGCGGCGAGGGAGGCGGAGAGAGCGGCGGCAGAAGCGGAGGCGGCGCGGCATGCCGAGGCGCTGCTGGCGGAGGAGGAGGCGGAGAAGGAGGAGCGCGCAAAGAGCAAGACGGGCAAGAAGAAGAAAAAGAAGAGCGGCGGCGGCGAGGCAGACAACGCAACGCCTGGCCCCAGCGCCACCGCCGCTCTGCCGCCGCCAACCCCTCCGCCAGCCCCATCTCCTCCGCCCGCCGACGCAGCCGCCATCGCCGCGGCGGACGAGGCGCTGCAGCAAGCAGTGGCCGCTGGCTCGTACGAGGGCGTGGCCAGCGCGCTGGAGGAGGCGTGCAGCGGCCTCGCGAGCCCGGCCGTGCTGGCGGCGGCGAGGCGCGCGCACGACGAGCTCAAGGAGGCGCGGAGGCGGGATAGCCAGCGGCTGCGCAAGGCGCATGGCGCGGCGATGGGCGCGCTCAAGTCGCTCGACGCAGCGGACAGCCCCTCCGCGCTCCGAGCGGGCATCGCTGCCGCCAGGCCGCACGTGGGCGCGCTGCCTGCGTTGGCCGAGGAGGTGAGCGCGGCGGAGTCGAAGCTGGGAGAGCTGTCTGTCGCCGCGGAAGAGGCGGTTGCCGCTCGGCCCGTTGAGATAGCCTTGTCGGACCTCGCCGCGGCGACGGACGGGTTTGCCAAGGGCAAGCTGATTGGCAGCGGCGGCTTCAGCCGCGTCTACGAGGCGTCGGCCGACCTCCACCTCTCCCTCGCCGCGCCGCCGCAGCTGCGCCACTTGCCGCTCGTCGTCAAGCGGGCAAGGTCGGGTCAGTCCGGCGGCTTGTCGCGGGCAGAGCTCGAGGTGAAGCTTCTCAAGGCGGTGAGCCACCCGCACCTGCTGCCGCTGCTCGGCTACTGCCTCTCGCCCGACGGCGTCTGCCTCCTCTCGCCGCTGATGCGCGGCGGCTCGCTCGAGGCGCGGCTGCGCATCTCGGATCCCGACCGCGCTGCGCAGCTCCGGCGGCTGGGCATGGAAGAGCCGCCGAGGCCGCTGACCTGGCGGCAGCGCGTGCGTGTCGCGTGCGAGGCGACCGAGGCGCTGGTCTACCTCCATTCGAAGGGCATCGTGCACCGCGACGTCAAGCCAGACAACATCCTGCTCGACGAGAAGCTGACCGCAGTATTGGCTGACACGGGCTTCGCCAAGGACCAGCGTCCCGACGCGTCTGTCCGTTGCCGCTCGACCGCCCTCTACATGACCACGGGCTACCTCTGCCCCTCCATCACCAAGGGGGGCGAGTACTCGAGCAAGACGGACGGCTACGCCATCGGCATCACCCTCCTCGTCTGCCTCACCAACCGGTCCGAGGTGCAGCTCACCGACCGGTGCGAGGACGAGTTCGAGGAGGACTGGACCGACATCGACGCGGCGAAGCTCGCCGACGTGGCTGCGGGCTGGCCAGTCAACGCGGCACGCGCAGTAAAGGATCTCGCGAAGGCGGGAGACGGGCATAAGAGCCTCTGCCACGACAGCCTGCGCAAGCGGCCCACACTGCCCGAGGCGCTCACGACGCTGCGGGCGCTGCTCTCTGGCGCGCAGGGCGGGGCGGGGGTGGAGGAGGCATCGCCGGCACCTGGAGACGAGGCCGCTGCGGCAGCCGCTCGCACCACCGGCTACGAGCCTTCGCCGCTCTCGGTGCAGGTGCGCGGCATGCGCACGGGCGGCGACGCGCAGGCGCGCATCCAGGACAACATGATGCTCGCCTTCAAGACGCTGATGCCGCGCCTCGACGCCGCGTACGCCTCGCGCTCTGCGGCGGCGCCCGACGGCTTCGAGGAGCGCATCAACTTTTGGCACCGCGAGTGCGGCCTGCCGCCCGAGCTGCGGAGGCAGCTGCACTCGCTGCGCATCTGGGCGAACGCGGCGAGGCACCACGACGCGGCGAGGTGGCGGAGGGACGGGCCGCGGAGCGAGGGGGAGGCGTCGCGGCTCGTGGCCGCGGTGACGGAGGCGATCGGGGTGATCGAGGGGTGAATGCAGTCGCTGCGCGGGCGGTCTTGAGGCCTCGCGATCGTCTCTCGTTTGTGTCTCGGACTCTCTCAAGAGGCTCACATCGCAGACAGACAGTGAGGGTGTGAAGCCCAAAAGGCAGAGTATGCACGCAGAAAACGCTAGAGAAAACGTCTCTCTCAAGTGAGATTATTCAAGGAATTGTCAGAGGAGGGTCTCGCTGCCCTAGATGATGCTGGGCGCGAAGCCTATGGTGAAGAACTGAAAGGGTGAAAGCTGAAGCAGAGTCTTATCGTGCTCGGAGCGGGAGAAGAGTAAGTTAAAAGAAGGGAAAAAGAAGGGCTCCAAGAAGAAGAAGAAGAAGAAGAAAATCCCGGCTTTCATGCGCAACAATGCGTCCAAGCTCGAGGCATCAAAGGAGAAAAAGGCGAGTCGAAAGAAAGCTGTCTGAGGCTGCTGAGCGGAGGAGAAAAAGAAGGCTGATGCTAAGGCCAAGAAGAAGCGCAAGGCTCGTCCGAAGAGTCCAGAGGAAAAAGACGATGAACGATTACCAGGTACTTGCTCGGTGGAAGCCGGATCTCCTGTTATAACGACGACAGAAGTTCTTGCTGGTGTGCAATTGGACCGACAGTCCCGTGTTCGTATAGGGAGAAAACGCAAGGATGGATCTCTAGAAAATTTGTACTGGCTGAGCGAGGATCCTGAGGCAGTATTTGGAGGTGACGATGGGAAAACGATTACTCTGGCGCGGCCGTACAACGATTGGGCTGAAGGTGAAGCTGCCTTGCGTATAATACATGTGCAAGAATGAGCTAGCGGTGAAGGCACTGTCGGAGGACGAAGACGCCGGGAAGGATGCGATTCGAGAGGACGAACTTGAAAGGAAAGAAACATTCTTGGGCTATGAGATGATGTGGGTAGATATTATACCGATGCTCGGCACTGAACCCAAGGACCTGCATCATACGAAGGAAGCGTGGTTTGAAAAGGTAACTAGCATGTTTGCGGCCAAGAAGGTGTTCAAATACTTGTGCACGGAGATGAAACCGGCGGCAAAAGAACTTGACGGTAGCAAGTGGACTAAGTTTGCGAAAAGTCTACCTGACGTGATAGACGGGAAAAGAATTAAGACGACTGACCTTGACCTTATTTTTGCTGCAGCAAAGGCAAAAGATCAGCGCCGCTTGAAATTAGATGAGTTTTTAAACAAGGCGCTTGTGGCTCTTGCTGGGAAGCGTTATCCTTGGCTCGAAAATACGGATGGTGAAGGCCCTGCATGTAAAGAATTCATACGTCAACACATTTTCAAGTGGGATGTCTGTTCGGATTTTCCCCGCCGACGAGCGGATGGTCGGATTGACTCTCCGCTAAGACCGCGACATGCACACGAGCTGCGGTCGTGTGGCCGTCATAGCGGCGAGGCGCGGGACCGTCTGTGGCGAAGTGGGTCGCGTCCCCGGATTTCCTCAACTCAGCCTCCATCCACACCCTCTGTGACGCCGGACGCGGAGAGTCACTCACTGCCCGCCCCCACCCTCTCAGCTTTTGTCTCGTCCCGACCGATTCTTCTCTGCTTACCTCCATCTTTCCCTTTGGTGGTTGTGACAAAGGTTTACCTCGGGAGCAGTGGAAAAGAAAAACCACCCAACAATATGGCGGGCACTCTGGGACGCGTCTTTGCTTGCGATGGACGGGCCAGGGCGCGTCTTTGCTTTGCTGATCGCGTCCGTCGCGCTATCCGCGACAGTCGTGTGCCTGGTTGGCGCATCCTCGGCCCGAGTCGATCACCACCCCGACCAGCGTCCCGTCAAAACCTCGCGCGGCGTGGTGCACGCCTTCTTCCTGCTCGACCGGACGGGCAGCATGAGAGGTCAAGAGCACGCGGTGCGGGCAGGGTTCTCCAAGTTCGTCGAAGAGCAGCGTGCGATGCAAGGCGACATGCTTCTCGACGTCGCGCAATTCGACTCGACAGACCCCTTCGAGATGATCATCGAGTCGCAGCACATCGCCGAAGTGAAGCCGCTCGAGCGCTTTGAGCCACGCGGCACTACGCCTCTCTACGATGCGGTTTCGAGCATGATCGACCACGCGGAGCGCACGGCAACTACCAAAGAGGTGATATTGGTCGTCTTCACCGACGGACAAGAGAACGCGTCGATGCGCATGAAGCAGAAGGCGGTCCTGCAGCGGGTGGAGGAGAAGAAGAAGCTGGGCTGGACATTCGTCTTCCTCGGTGCCGACATCGACTCGTACGCGACCGGCGGCAGCCTCGGGTATGCGCGCGGCTCCACCCGGTCGCATGCCGCCACCGCTGCGGGCTACGCTTCCGCCTGGTCTGATGTGAGCCACGCCATGAGCGCGCAGCGCTTTCGGCGCTCCGCGCGAGGCTACACGGACGCTAAACGGCTCGCGGCCAGCAAGTCGTACTTCTCCGCCGCGGAGAGCGCGAAGAAGAGCAAGCACGCGTGATGCGATGGCCGAGGCGGAGAGGTGACAGATGGATGTCGATGACTGGCGCCACATGCTGTTGGCGGTTGGTGCCGCGCACAGCGGTTTCCCCCACCGAAGCACACAGAGTTTACCTTAGTGTGGTATGTGCGCCACACACACCACACCGACCCGTTGTGGCAAATCACTGTTCAAGTCGCATCGTATGTGTCTTTGTTAAGAGGACAACAAGAGTAGCGAAAAGCGAGGGTTTGAGCTACGGCTCTAGCACTCTGACTCTCGTGCGCTTTTTGCCTTCGGCCCGCGACTCAGCGGGCCTACGCCCCAAGCTCCTCCCAGCGATCGCTGCACTCGCCCCTTTTGCGGCCGTGGCACAGCCACACGGCGCCCCCACCGTGCGCCGCGAGCGCCGCCATCAGCTCGCTCGCCGACGAGCCGTGCGTCCCCACCATCAGCTTTGCGCCTACGCGCCCGTCGGCCCTCGGGTAAGCTCGTGAGATCTCGCGCGATCTCGTCGCGCCTCCCGGGCGGAGGCGCCGCTCATGTGCCGCCAGCTCCGAGATGAAGGAGTTTTGGTACCTGACCGCCGCCGAGCGTGAGGGGTTGGCTCCACTTGCAAGGACTGCTGAGGGGGCGATGGCGCAAGGGAAGTCTGGCGCAGGGGAAGTCGGCCCCTCCCACGCCCTGGGCTGGTGGGGGGGGGGGGGGGGGGGGCACCGGCCGTGCCCTGCATCGATCGATCTCCCCTCCTCGACATCCTCGCGCCGCTGCAGCGTCTTCAGCTGGCAGCGCGCGCCTAATCTCGGCGGACCTCGGCTGATCTCGGGCGATCTCGAGGCCCTCTTGACCTGCCTGCTCTTGACTCGGCAGCGGCGCACTCAGTCGCGAGAGGTGCCGCAGTGCAACCTGCGGGAGGGAGGGGAGGGGTGAGGCGCCAAGCCGGTAGAGAGGGAGACGGGCTCTTGTGGCTGCTCCGCTGGCCGGCCCCGGACGTGACACGACACAGCACACACATACGGCTCTATTGACATAATAAATAAAAACGGACACCTCTCTACTGTGAGATGGGTAAAAAGGAACAGGTCCCCGCCCTTGCGATCTTTGTGCAGGGTTCTTTGTGGGTGTGGTCGGTGACTAGCCGGGGTCGTCCTCCCGATGGGGGACTAGCACTCTAGCCGTCTTCCACATGGTCCCTCGGATCCCTCTCCCTGCTGCTCCTAATCTCTTCGCGACATCCTCCTGCTGATCTCCGCAAAGTCCTGCACATTGACATATATTCTCCTTATTCGATGATTATTGACTCAGACATTGATGCCCTGACGAAAAAAGAGGACTCTTGCTACGCATGAACCATATGGTACACGCTGACGACATTGCAGTGTGCTTGCACGCACGCAGCAGCGGGTTTGAGCGGTGCTGCCTCGACGTGGCGCATGCGGCATGCTACGCGTAGGCCGCCCTGCTCTGGCTCAGGCTGAAGGGGCACGGCACGGTGAAGGGGGTGGTCGTCGAGCGGACCGCTTCGGGATTGAAGGCCTTCGCCTCGCGCGCGCGCTGCTCCTCCTCCCTCCTCCGCGCCAGCTCCTTCCGCTCCAGGTGCCGGGAGAGCCCCTTGATAGCGCGCGCCTCGCCCGGAGGCACGCGGGGTGGCGGCGGCCTGCCAGGCGTCGGCGCGAAGGTGCAGCCGGCCAGCGCCTCCTCCTCCCGCTCGGCGAGCGCCGCCGCGCGCCGCGCCGCCCTCTCCCTCATCTCCGCCTGCACCCGCTCGCTCAGCGTCGCCTGGTCGGCGGGGTGCAGCCGGTCCGTCACGCGCGCGGCGATCGCCTGTGGACACGTCGTGGACATGTCGTGGACACGTCGTGGACATGTCGTGGACATGTCGAGGACGTGTCGGTCACGCGCGCGGCGATCGCCTCCGAGGCGGCCGACAGGCGCGGCGCGAACGTGCGCCCCTCCTCCTCGGCCCTGCGCCACGCCTCGACCGCCGACGCGCGGCGCGCCTTGCCTCTCGGGTCTCGCATCAGCTCGTCGTCAGACTTTGGGCGGGCGATCCGCGCCTGCAGGGAGGCTCCGAGAGAACAGCTCGGGGGGTCGGCTCCGGGAAGGGGAGGGGGGCAGCCTCGGCCGCCGATCCGCGCCGAGATGCCGTCGATGCGCGGCGCAAACGGGTGGCGCGCGAGGCTCGCGGCCTCGGCCGCCGCGCGCCACTCCTCGCGGACGAGCGGGTCGGTGCGCGCGAGGCGGACAGTCCGCTCCTCCTCCGTCTCGCTCAGCCGGCCGGGCCGCGCGGTGAGCAGCAGCTGAGTCGCCTCGGAGATGGAGGGGGTGAAGAGCGCCGCCTCCTCCTCCTCGAGGGCTTGCTCCCGCTCGCGCTGCCGCTCGCACCGCCCCGCGCTCCACGCCTGCATCCGTGCGAGGACGGGCTGGCCGCCGCCCTCGCTCCCCTCGGCGAGACGCACCGAGATCTCGTTGAGCTTGGGCGCGAAGGGGCACGCCGCAGCCTGCCCCGCCGAAGGGGCCTCGGGTCATCTCTGTGATCTCGTGGTGATCTCGGTCCATCTCCGAGCCATCTCGGGGCCATCTCGGTCCATCTCCGGTCCATCTCCGGTCCATCTCCGGTCCATCTCCGAGCCATCTCCGGGCCATCTCCGAGCCATTTCCGGGCCATCTCCGAGCCATCTCCGGGGCACGCCGGCGCCTCCTCCGCTTCGCGCTGCTCCTCGCGCCTCGCCCTGCGCTCCGCCAGCGCCGCCGCCTGCGGAGGAGGCGATCCAAGTGAGGAAGCGGCGTGCGGCGGGCAGGGGTGCAGGAGCGGGGGTTGGGGCGAGGAGGGGGCGAGGAGGGGGCGAGGGGGGAGGGAGGAGGGCGTGGGAGCGGTGAGGAGTAGAGGGAGGGGGGCCGGGAGGCGTGCGAGGCGGGGGGAGGGGGGGGGGGGGGGGCTGCCCCCCCTGTGTTTCGGCGCCTCTCGGCCGCCTCTCGGGTGGGATCTCGGCCGCCTCTCGGGCTTGGAGCAGGGGGGCGCCTGCCGCCTTTCCGCCTTGGGCCGGACCTCCTCCCCGGCCCGTTGGTGCAGCGGCCGCCCGTCGGCCGCGAGGTTGCTCCCCGCGATGCTGAGCGAGGTCGGGTTGACGCGCGGCGCGTACGGGTACCGCGCCGCCTACAGGCAGCCCCCGAGACGCTTGCAGCCAAGCCCATCCCTCTCCTGGTGTGCCGGTCGCGAGTGCTGCCGCGCTGCCTCCCACGCACCCGCCGTCGCAGCGCAGCGGTCCCGCGCCGCAGCGCGCTCGGTCGCCGCGCTGTGCAGCCGCTCGCCCGCCGCCGCCGCCGCCGCCGCCGCCGCCCTCTCCTCTCGGCGCGCCAACCGCTCCGGTGAGCGGCCGCCACCTCCGCCGCCACCCACCCCGCCACCACCACCTCCTCCACCTCCTCCACCTCCTCCACCTCCTCCTCCTCCTCCGCCTCCTCCGCCTCCTCCGCCTCCTCCGCCCGCCCGGCTGCCCGCCAGCTCTGGACGAAAGGTGCACAGCGCCAGCTCGGCCCTCTCCCGCTCGCGCCTCGCCGCCTCGCGCCGCACCTCCGTCTGCTGCGCCGCCGCAAACAGCCGCTCCCCCGCGCTTCCGCGCCTCGAGAGCTCGCGCGAGCGAGCGTTGATCCGCGGCGCGAAGGCGGCGGCCTCGGCACCGCAGCTCTGGCCGTCGCCCGCCGCCGCCGCCGCCGCTCTCCGGGTCGGCGCACTCGCGGGCCGCTGGGGCCGTGCTGCATGCTCGGCCGTCACTGTGCGGTGGTGGCGGAGCTGAGCCGGAACGGGCGCGGCAGCCCGCGGCGGCGAGCGGCAGCGGCGACTCGTGGAAGGAGGGTGGGCGCAGTCCGGCAGCGGATGGTCGACTCGCGGTTGGTCAGGTACAGGTGCCGGTGGCGGCAGAGAAGGAGGCGGAGGCGGAGGCGGAGGCGGAGGCGGTGGCGGCGGTGCAGGCTCCGCTGCGGAGAGCTGCCGGCCAGCCGCGCGCTCGCGCTCTATCCGCCTCTCCTCGAGGAGCCGCTGGATCAGAGCGTCCCTCTCACGCCGGCGTCGCTCCACGTCGGGCTGCGCTGCTGCAGGAGGCTCTTGCGAAGCGTTGGCTAACATTTTCCGGCGTTCTGGCCCGTTATTCCATGTTCACAGCGTCTCTCTTTGATTTACGTCTCCAGCAACCTTTCTCTTCTTGGCCTGCGAAGCGTCGCAAAAGAATTTCAACCGAAACAGGAGGTGTCGCGATGTCCCTGATCGTCCTTACTTACAAGATCCTGCTCGTGCAGGTGGGGACCCTGTCCTTAAAAGAAAGAAAACGGACAACCCAAGGGAGGGATGGGAGGACGGCACGCCGCCACCACACAGGGATTTTAAGGAGAGGGGTGTGGTGCACTAGCCGTCGCCCACCCTTGGGCGTCTGCCTCTTCCTATCTCTCTTCGCAGTCTCTCTCCGATTCTCGCTGCGACCTTCGTGCCACCTCGCGGTCGCCCCCTTCTCGTCGTGCTCTCCCTTGTCGCTTCTTCCTCTGTGGGACCCTGTCCTTCTCCCACCCCTTGTTTGGTGTGTCCGTTTTATTTATTCTCTGTTGCTAGCCTATCGCATTGCACCTTGCTGCGAGCATGCGGCGTGCCGAGCTGCAGCTCGAGCGCCGGTTAGATTCTTTTCTCACCTCCCGGCGCGTTGCCCAGATGTCCTCTCGTTTATCCCCCTCCCTGAGCCGGACCCGCAGTGCGTCCACGCTTAGTTTGCTGCGGTATTTGGCGACCTCTACGCAAACCTCTTTTAAAGCATCGCAACTCTCAAAAACGGGGGTCTCATACCTTAGTCCTTATACCTCCTGCTGTCGCACACACGACAATCCAACCTAGCTGCGCTCACTCAACACCAGCTCAACACCGGGCAGTCACCGGCGCCATCTTCACCATGTGTATGTGTGCATGGCGCGCAAGCGCTTTGACGGCTCTCCTATGCACGCAAGATCTGTCAGGCTGTCACAGACCGCCGGAGGG